GGACGGCAGAGGATGAGATGGTTAGATAGCATCACTGAAGCAATGAGCATGAAACTGAGCAAACTCAGGGAGGCAGTGAAGGACAGGAAGGCCTGGCGCAATATGGTTCACGGAGTCACGAAGAGTCGGACACGACTTAATGACTGAACAACAACAACAACAACTTCTGAAAAGGGTGAAAAGGAAAGCTGGAACTACATATATGCTTTAAACTGCTTGGAGAACAGTGAAAATGTTAATCATCAAATATTCTACTCACTGGGAGTACTGTCAAAGTTGACCTAGCACTTTGTGAACAGTATTGTGAAGTGTGGTTTAAAGTGTTGGACTAAGACTGGGAAATCCAAGTGGCCCACCCTCAACCACAGAAGCTCACTGGGTAACTTTGGGCCTGTCACTCTCTCCCAGCCCAGCCTACTTCACAAGGTTGTTATTATGGGGTTAAAATGAAGAGTGACTCCTTTGTAAACTGCCTCAAATTCCTGAACAAAAGACAGGATATCAATATAACAAATAAATAACAGCAGGTTATCAATTCAGCTGTGGTCAGTGGCAGTTGTTGAGCAAATATATGCAATAGCAAAGTAGAACCAAAGCTCCATCATCTCTTGTGAATTTCACAAGTGTTCTAAGTAGTATATCTTGATAAATTATATAACACTATAGTATGTTATATTAATACTGTCAATGCAGAACATTGCAAAAATAACTTGAGGGAATAATACTGATTTCTGGTCCAAGGAGCATGCAGGCTACATTGGGAAAGAGAGAGAAGAGCAGACAACACAAGTTTGTTTCCTTCACAAAGTTTGGCTAAATCTGAGACAGGTAAAAGTGGTGGGGTGGCTATGAGTTTGAGGGGCAAGATAAGAGGTCATTCTGTAACTCCAGCTAGGAATTAACTGTAGGCCATCAGCCCTTTTCTTATATGCCTCGGTCTTGCATGACATTTGGTCTCAAACACCAGATAATAGATGCAAAGCTCTATGAACGAACTGCTTCAGAAAGGGGAGCAGTACTCAAATGAAATAAATAATAGCAATATGACCAAAGTGTTATGGATATCATTAGTAAAAGGCACAAGCTTCACAAATGGAAATCTAAATATTATGTTTTTTCAGATTATGCACAGTTCAGGTGGTTTTTTTTTTTCCTTGTCACAGTGGATTTATTATCTTTACAAGATAAATGCCAAATGCACCCATTTTTAAATGAGAAATAATACATAAAAGATAAAATTAGGTAATATTTAACAGGTGACATGAATTAATAAACTGAAAAGCAAACTATAGCTTTGCAGAGATATTTTCTGGGTTCTCTGATGTGGCTCCCCATGATTCCCACCACCAAAACCAGAAAGCTGGCACATGAGAAAGCAAGGCACTAGCCTCTAGCATCATATTTATGTTTGCTTCTGGCTCCAAATGGTCCCCCCATTTTTAGAAAATAAAACTGATGAATGGCATAAGCTCAGTGATATGCTCAGAACTGTGTTCTCTTGCCCAGCAAAAGGACAAAGGCAAGCAGGATTAGTAGGAAAAAAAAAATCCTGTGAGAAGGGGGATAGAATGAGAGTATAGATAATTTTATTGTAAGTTGGTGTTTTGTAACTGGTTACGCTAGCAATTCTGTGAATAGGCAAGTATCCCTCAGTGGACATTCTGCAAAAGTGCCTATATTATGTTCTCAACATTTCAGATGTTCCCAATATTGGGAATCCCTGCACCACACCATTGACCAGGGTAGCTGTCCAAGGTGCTGATCTATGATATTTGCAATGGGAAACACAGCTACATCTCAATCTCGAATCTGTGGTACCACAGTTACCTATGTAGAAGTAGGTCCCCTGAACTCTGTGGGATTTATTTATCAATAGTCATATAATAGGAGTCTGTGTTGTTATTATGGGGTTTTCTTGTGCAACTTCTTTTCCAAGGAATCTTAGGCCGAATCTAGGGGGTTGAAGGAGTAAAAGAAGTTAGAAAGAGTAACAAATGATGCAAGGTGATCCAATTAAAGTGGCAGAATGTGAACAGATGGCTAGGATGAATTTTTTAAGAGTCAATGCAAACATACTGTTGTCAGAACAGTATTAAATTATGCTGATGCTTCACTTCCCAGGAGGACAGTGCAGGATCATAACGTGAGAGATGAAGTGCTATTTTTATGTTTTATAATTAGACTTGCATTATATTTTGTCCAGTGAGGGTTATGCTCTTTTTTGTTTACCAGTTACAGAGGGTATAATGCTAATACTAGATGAGAGTTGTTTATCTTCATATATTCAGGTGAGTTTCCCTCTTGGGGTAACTCAGTGCTATGAGCAGCCTGATATTTTACTATAATATGTAAGGCTATTAGATTAGAGAATTTTATAGCTCTGCTGAAACATTAATCATGGATGAAATATGATGCTACAAACCATTATTTGCCCTGAGAGATGTCCTCTATAATTCAGGATGGAGCAAAACTACCGATCATTGACATAATTCCAAAAGTGACATGGCAAAAATGTAAGAATTAAATAAAATTACTCTTTGTTCCTTTCAAGTTTATAGCAAATTCTAAACACTTCATTTCTTGAGGGATTAATATTGTTATTTGTGAATTTTCTAGTTAGTCTGTTGACACATACAATAGTGATAGAAAGGGCATATGTCAGCAGAGAAGTTGATGCTATGTATTTAAATTCCCTAGTGCACTAAGACACCAGAATCTAAATAGTCTCCAGAAATAAATGTTTCTTTCAACTCAGACCCATCAGTTAAAATGGGCCCCTAGTGATTAAGCAATCCATCTTCTGTAGTAAATCAATCAATTAAACATGCATTTTTAAATGCTTTGAAAATAAAGGGGATGATTTTACTTTCAAAAGGGATAATCACCCAGCCAAAGACTTCATGTTTCAATGAAAATTGTTAACTGTTCTGATTCAAGCATGTAAATAAGCTGCTGCTCACTCCCATTTTTGCCCTTTCCATTTGGCACATCTTCACTGCTGCAGTGACTACCAGCTTGAGGTGACCATGATGCTTTTGGTGTAATATTAATGCCAGCTTGCACTACAGATACTGTTTAGGTGTACTGTTTAGCAGGCATTGGTACTGTCATTTCAGAAGGATTTATACCAGCATGGGTAGCAATTCACAGTTTGCAATAGACTGGCATATTTAATTCTTTAAAAGTGAAGAATCACACCTTCATTTGTGAATGCATATTCTATATTTGAGTCTGTGGTAAACCTGTTAT